TCCGTAAAGCGGAGGAGTGGTGAAGTGCCCCCTGCCTACTTCGTAAGTTCCCTGCGAGGGTTCATTGTCGTTCTCTGCGCGGCAAGCACCCAGTGAGTGTTAGACATCGTCGTTATCGTTATTACCAGAGAGAGTTGGGGGCTTGGGTAACATGAATGTTCGGGGCTTTAAAGGCCAAGCCAGTCTGAGGCACAGACGCTGACAAGTGAAATTTGAGGACTCTTGCCTGTTACCATTCGAGGTCCAGCATTAAAGCAGATTCTATAGCATCTCAAAGGCTTTCCAAGCATAGAAAAATTAGGAATCCTTGGAAAGGAAACACCTCTACCCTTTGTGGTCGGAATTTGAGAGCATTGTCTGCACCGGCAGCCTCACTGCTGCACTAGTCCAAACACATGTGTGTAATTCTCTCTCCCACATACTGAGGAGCTCCTGTCCCCTGCTGTTTATAGAAGATAGTCCAAGGAATGGGAGTTGGCAGTCCCACAATGGTGGGAGGTCCACACTCTAGGCCTTGGAAATTTTCTGCCAGGAGGACCTGAAATTTCTCTGAAGGGCCACTGTAAGTTAAACCTTAGATTCACTCAGAACATATGAGTGTGAACGGATCCCAGACGTGTCTAGGCCAATTCCTCTCGTGGGCAGAATGAGTGTAGGAGGACCTCAGAGATGGGGGTGGGGGTGGGATTTAACCATACCAGCTGGTGGCGGAGCAGCGACTAAAACAGGTCTCCTGATTTCAGGGGGACCATGCTGTCCCCCTCCATCAAAGAGCCGTGGGGAGAAGCAGCTGGCGGTGGGGGGATCCGGGGAGGATCTGAGCGGGCACCGGGTATGCCGATGAGGGACTCACAGTCCCGGCCCTTGAGGGGCTGCTAGAGGCTGAAACACGAGAACAGGGACACATCTGAATCGGGGTGGGTAGAGGCCTGGCAGAGGTGGGTCCCGAGAGCAATGGAGAAGAGGGTGGAGAGACATAAGAAGGTTTCCAGTGGGAGCTACAGAAAAAGTTGAAGGGTGAATGGGATCTCATTACCAGGAGAGGTAGAGACGGGGTGGTCCAGAAATGGGGAGAAGCAAGGCAACATCCTGAGAGGGGGAGGTGGACCTTCCCACTCCTAGGTTGCAGTGGGTCCCCGGGGCTGCAGCCAGGACCCCAGGATCCAGGGCAGACCTCCCACTTCAGGGCCCAAGGATGCCATCTGTCACCCTTAGAGGGGCGTATACATTTATACAGAGATTGGCAGGACATGGGTATTTTAATCCAAAAGAGGGACCGTCTAACGGTGGCCAGGCAGGCGTTGAGACAGGTGCTGAGGGAAACCCTTTCCGGATTAGTGGCCGTGAGAATCTGTGTGCGCTGGTGGGGGCAGGGGGTGCTTCTCTCTGTCTTAATTCTGTCGGCTTGCAAATTGCAGTTTAAAGGCCATCTGTTCACATCCAATTGTTGAGGTGGCTACTCTCTCCTCCGTTCACCTTGACTATGTCCCCGCCGCGCTGTCTGAGCCTCGGTTTCCCCACATGTAAAACGAGACAGGAGGACTTGTTGGTCTATAAGGCCCCTTCAGCCTGGGGCTGGTGAAGCCCAGTCTCAGGCTCTTTGCTGGGATGCCAGAGGCGCCCTCTGGTGGCCATCGTGGTCCATGCACGCGGGGAACAGGCTGGGCTCCCTGCCTGGCTCTCTGAAGAGTGAGTTTGTGTGGATGTCTGTGTGAGTGTGCCTGTGTCTTGGGAGTGGATCACAGAGCATGTGTGACAGGCTTGTGATACAGAGAATGCAGACCTTCCCTGACTCTCAGCCCCTGATAAAATCGCAGACAGGGAGGTGGGGCCATTTAAAACAAAGGCAAAGTCGGCCCAAACCTTCCTGGGGCCTGCCTGGGACACCTGGGCCTGCACAATTTCCTGGGCCACCCTTCTTGCTAATACATGTGGAGAGCACTACTCCTCTGCTCAAAATCTCATCCTGTGGCCCCTCTGTTAAACAGAGTAAATATCAAACTCCTGGCCAGGGCAGGGCATAAGGTCCCGGTTTGGTTGCTCATATGGCCTCAGTTTTTACTCTCTTCTTTCTTTCCTGTCCCACTCCAGGTGAACTATGTCATCCTTTCCCATGTCCTATCCTCTCCTTATGTCTGTTCTTTTCCCCAGAGTGTCCTACCCTCTCCTTTAGTCCCCAGTGCATCTTTCCAAAGTTGCCACATGCTACCTCCTCCAGGAAGAATTCCTGGATTTTTCCACTTGGGTCTGAGCTCTCCTTCCTCTGAACATCCTGGTAGCTTTGTCTACACCTGTCTCCTGGGATGTAGAGAGTTTACCCAGGTAACTCAGGTCAAAGATGTCCAGCTCTCTAGCCCTTCCCTGACGACTGGCTCCATGTCTGCTTCCAACACTGAGCCCTCCCCACTGGCAGCCAGGCTGTCCTCTGCAGTGCCCCGACTCCCACGAGGAGTCCACCTCCCTTGGGCCCTCGGCCTTAGCCAATGGGTCTGCTCTTGTGGAAGGAGGTCTGGCGGTAGGAGAGAAAGACGTGAGCCTTAAGTCAGGCTCTTGTTGGGTCCTGACCTTCAGAAGGCACATGTCTACCCAGCACACAGGCTCCAGCTGCTGAGCTGTGTATGGGAGGCTGGTTTCTGCATGCCCCATATTGAGGGTTAGACCCCACTGGCCTGGCTCTTTCCTTCAAAGACAGAAGTAGTAGGCTATGTGTAGACGTCTGCTATTGTCAGTTTTTTGTGCTCTGTAACACGAAACTCTCGCACAACCTGCTTATAGATGTAGAAACAAGGAACCAGAGATGCTAAGTAACTCATTCAAGGTCACACAGCTTTGAGTGGGAATGCTCAAATTCAGACCCTGCTTTCCAAGTGTCTCCAAATCCTGTGCAGTTTCCGGACCATTCTGTGGTCACTGTGCCTTGCACATAGTAGGTACTTGATAAACTTCTGGATAATAAAACATAGCCATAAACTAATACATAACTATCTCTTTCTGCTAGCCTTCCAGTCTGCCTCGGGCTTACACATTCACCTCTGCGTGAGGAAAGAGTCTCAGAACTGGGATTATCTGAGAGAGGACAGGCTTCAGGCGCTAAAGGGGGGAGGTGATGCCTGCATCCCAGGAGGGGTGAATGCTCCGAGTCTGGGTGTTAGGGGGTAACGGGTCCCGGGCATGGTGAGGACAGGCAGGCACCTGCTGGGCCACGGTCTCAGTCGGTGTGTGGCTCATGAATGTCTCGTAACTTCAGGAGCCACAGCGTGGCTGCAGGGTAAAGGACCTGGAATTAATCCAAATTCTCTGAGAAGCGGATGCCAAGGCAGGATTAGATGTGCAAGAGGTTTATTAGAGGACATATCAGTGAGGGGAAGGGCAGGGTGCTGGGGAGGCTGAACGAGAGAGCTCAATGCTGATCATCCAGGGTGGGGGGATGGGGGGAGGAGGTAGGGAAGGAGCGAGGCAGGCTGAAAGGAAGTGTTTTTGACTGTAGGGCACTTGTAAGAAAGTTGGCAAGGCCAACGGGGAATCCTCCAGCCAGCGTGCCTGGCAGCGGGGCTCTGTCCCTCCCAGGACAGGGTCTCCTTTGTGGCCCTGCCTGCTCAGTCACCGCCTTGTGGGGAGCGCCGCCTCCGCAGACGCACGACTGGGCTGCGAGCCTGCAGTGGAGAGGCGGGCATCGCGGGCGAAGGTGACGGGAACCTTCTCTAGTGTTGGTGTGCATGCCGTGTGTGCGGAGGAAGGTGTGTGTGTGCGCGCGCGCGCACGTGTGCGCGCACGCCTCTTTCCTAGTCGTAATTCTGTTGGCTTCCCGGTTCATATCCAACTGTGGAGGTGGCCACTTCCCCCTCCTCCTTCACCTTGACCCGCTCTGAGCCTTGGTTTCCCCACGTGTAATGTGAGGCAGGTGGACTTGCTGGTCTTTAAGGCCTGGAGCGCAGCTGCTGAAGCCGTCGGTTAGCTCTGCTCCCCAGAGAGCTGAGAGGTGTGTCCTCACGGTCCCTACAGGCCAGCCAGCCCCCTTTCACCAGCCTGGCCCAGGCGACCGCCACCAGCGCCTACGGCTCCTGGGAGCTAGACTTTGTGCCTCTGGAAACTCAGGAGAAAGGCTGATTGGCCCGGCGTGTGTCACGTGTCCAGCTCTGGTCCAATCAACTAAGACCAGAGGGTGGAGCCACTTGCGGCTGTTCCCTGAGCAGGGCTTTGCGCATGCTCTCTGAAGTAAAGGTGCTGACCTTTGGGCAGGGTTACTCCCGGGTGGAGTGAGGAAGTGCAAGGTGTAGGTGGCACTCTGGCTGGCCGTGTCCTCTCAGCGTGGCACACCCGGTAGCTCCACAACGTCAGGAGCTGGACTATGGTTTTACCCCAGTGCTGGGGCGTGCACACGGCCTGCACCCAAGGAGTGTCTTGGCGGGCGTGCCCTGCTGTTGCCGACCCTGAAAGGCTGACCTCTGCTGGCCAGGACAGGCACTACGCCTACCCGGTGGCCACCACCCCAGGACAGCAACGGAGGGATGTCTTTCCATTAGCCTAGAAGCCTCTGGTAAGTGGCGGTATTGCAGTTACACAGCCCAGGCGCTAGTGCTGGGTTTGGGTGTGGCTCTTACACTAACTCGAGCGAGTTCCTTTCCTCCTTGGGGCTTTTCCCGTATCTGCCAACTGGGTCTCATCACCACTGAACAGGTGCGGAAGGGGCCGTGTATTGTGCAGGTTTGGGGCTCAGCTTTTGAGCTGATTTTGAATCCAGCTTTTCGTTCCTTGCTGTATGACCTTGGGCAAGTTACTCAATCTCTTGAAGCCCCAATCTCCCCATCTATAAAATGGGAAGGAAGAAGAATTTCTCTTCTGTTCTCTAAAAGGTGATGTGAGGATTCAATAAGAGAATGCGTGGAAAAAAGCACGGAGCATGACGTCTGACATCACATCATTGTGAGGTGGCCTTGCTATGTGGTATGCTGGGGGCACACTCATTCATCTCCTGTCCTTCACCTCTTCCCCAGCCCCATCTCTCAGAGCACCCTGGCTAATGGGCCAAGGAGTGATCGGTGTCTGGAGCACAGCCGGGACTCAACCGTGTACAAAGAGTGGGAATGCGCTGCAGACCTTCTGCCTGGGTGGTCTCAACCTCATCCAGCTTTTATCGAGTATTCCCCACCTAGCAGGTAAGTCTCTGCTCTGAGGGGCTCCCAGGGCATTTCTGTACAGGGCAGGATGCATTCTACTGTGTGAGCACTCACTGCAGGCTTGGGAGGAGCCTGTCTTCGATGTCTGGACACCTGGATTTCAATTCAGTCTTTGCTACTCACTCCCTATGTGCCTCTACCCCCCGCCCCTCCAAACTAAAGAAAGATTCCATGAGCTGGGGAGGGAGAAGACTCATAGGGGAGGTGAGAGAAGAGGATGGACCCCCTAGTTGGGTATGAGGATCTAAGTATGGCGAGGCCTTGGGCCCCTGATGCAGCTAAGGAGGTGGGAGGAGCCTGGACTTCCTTGCACCACAACATTGGAGTGGAAATGGAAGTCGCCCGGTGGGCACATCCAGGCACATGGGCCTGATGTGGCCTCTCAGAAGTGCCAGGAGCAGCAGAAGGCTCCTGGGTGCCCAAGAGGGATTCCCATAGCCTGCAGCGGGGTGGACTCAGGAGTGTGTTTCTGATGTGCCCAAGAGTGTGGCACAGACAAGGCACAGAGGACAGGAGGACCTAGAGAGGCTGCAAGGGAGCCCAGAAGAAGGCCGTGCATAGTCAGTGGGCACCAGTGTCTGATGTTTAGACATCCTGGGGGAGAAGAGCAAGGCAGATGACCAAGAGCTGGGGCCTCCTGGTGTTCTTCCTCCCCCACCTCAATACTACATAATTCCCATCCCTACCCAAGAACTGAGATGGAGCCTTCACTAAGATTAGGTGTCTTCCATCCAAGTGAAATGATGGCTCAAAATATAAATACAATTCAGTTAGATAAGGAAAGTTGTATTTCTCGTAGGCTTCAGCTCCGAGATTACTACCTGCCACTGAAAGAGAAAGGGGACATTGTACAGGTTCATAGAGGTGAGATGAGGTGGCTTTCAAAGAGAATTAAGCTAACGTTAATCTGTAGATCTACAATACCGGACAACAAAATATCCACACTCTGTTAGGGAAAAAGGTTTATGACCCAAGAGTCTTCATTCTCGTTAAGATACCATTAATTCTGTCAGGGGCACATAAGGACTGAACAAAATACTCAAGGAGATACTCAAACCGATGGAACGCGGGTTAAAAGAGAGATCTTAAAATAGGGGATGAAAAAGAAAAAAGACAGGGGATGAAAGAGTGTATAGGAAACAGTAGGAAGGAATGGGTATGTTAGTTAAATCAAAATGAATAATGACGTTTTTAAGTAGGGATTCTCGAAACAAAGGCCATGCGGTAAAGGAAAACCTGTTAAGAGTCAAAAATGAAGTATTGAAGTTTGCACTGTCCAGTATGGTAGTCATGAGTTACATGTGGCTCCTTACATTTGAATTAATTAAAATTATATAAAACCAAATAATCAGTTCCTCAGTTGCACTCGCCATTTTTCAAGCACTCAATGGCCCCACATGTCTAGTGGCTACTGAATCAGGGCAGATATGGAACATTTCCACCACCGCAGAAAGTTCTTTGGGATAGTGGTGATCTAAATTATCAGAAAATCCACGGAGGGGAAAGGATATTTTAGAGCACAGAGAAGAAAGGTAGTCTAAAAATCTTCTAAAAGGATACGAGAAGTGAACAGGCAAAACCAACAGCAAACTTGAAAAGCAGGGTGGAATTTCCAAACAGGCATGTGGCTTAGTGGTGGTGGTGAAATAAGGAATAAAGAGAAATTTGACCAATCCAGAAAAGGGGAAGAAGAAAGAGGGAGGAAATTATAATCAGTAATAAATGTGAAATTAGGTGGAAGAAATAAAACTAAGTTCATGAGCTATCAGAATAACTATGATCTGGACTTCTATCAGAAGCCAAAGTTGCCATTTCCAGTATATATGTAGAGAAATATCCCCTGGGACAAATTTTATGCTGGATACATTTTTAATTTTTATTTATTTTTATTTTTTAAAGGTTTTTTGTTTTTTGTTTTGTGTTTTGTGTTTGAGAGAGAGTGAGAGAGTACGGGGCAGGGACAGAAAGAGAGGGAGAGAGAGACTCCCAAGCAGGCACCTGTTGTCAGCATAGAGCCTGACACAGGGCTCAACCCCGTGAACCATGAGATCATGACCTGAGCTGCAATCAAGAGTTGGACGCTTAACTGACTGAGCTGCCCAGGTGCCCCTGGATACATTTTTTAAAATATAGTTTTAAAAACATAGTTTAGATAACATAAAATAAGGGAAATGTCAGTGTTTAGGAGCATTAAGAAATCTTGATTCTGATGGGGGTAAGTACATTTTGGAGCTAGTGTTTGCCTACAGGATATCTGCCTATCCCTGGTGACCCAGAGTCTGAGTTTAATAGCTCATGGCACAGAGGATAATTCCTGGGAATTAGGTGAGAATAAGTCAGAAGTCCTCTACATAAAGCTAGGATCCCAGAGGGCTATTAAACTAGGGGGGAAGAGTATCCACAGAGACTTGTCTGCCTCTGTCCTCACTGGAGTTGGAGTGGAAGAAAGAAGGTTCTTTCCTGAGAATCTCTAGGATAAGCCCAGTTTCGAATGGGTGTGGCACCAGAATTTATACTGCCTAGTGCTCCCTGCACTCCCCTTCTCCAAACAAAACAAAACAAAACAAAACAAAACACACACAAAACAAAAACAAAAACAAAACCCCCCAAAACAAAAAAAGCAAATAACAAAACTAAGTAAATATGCAATTTGAAGTATTCCCCAGATGCCTGATGAAGCAATTGCAAATACTCCCTGGAGAAGCACAGTTTAAATCTAGGCTTCAAGGACTTCTCACAGATAAATTTCCAAGGAGCAGGAGGTCATACTGGAAAAAAAAATCATTAAACAGAAGAGGAAATAAGCTACATGAAATGAGAGTCAGCAGAAAACAACATTGCTGAATCAGACCGACGGCAAGGCTGACTGAAGATATTGAAATTATCTGTTATAGAATATGAAATAATTATGTGTGGCTTGCCTAAAATAAAGAAGTGTTTGCATGTATGACAAAAGAATTAGAGAGAGAGAGAGAATCAAAACTGACCAGATGAATCTGAAGAAGAACCACAGAGAATTTCTAGAAGTGACAAATATAATTGAAATAGAAGCCGAGTGGATGAAAGATTGGTTCCAGGAAAGATGGAGTGAACACCATCTACTTTGTCTCCTACTGAATGCAGTTATTCTTCCTGGACAGAGTGTGTGGACCATTGGAAAGTAAATTGTAGCCAATAGATTAGAGAGGGAAACAAGAATTTGAAGTACAACTGAATTGGGTTGAGTTTCTCATTTTTTCCCTCCAGTGTTGGCTGACCTGGACTCAAAGGCAGCCTGAAACCTGGAAGGGTGCACCACGTACAGGCAGAAGGAGCTTCAAGAGAGCAAACCGAGTTTTCTTTCTGGCCTGAAGAGTAGAAAAAGTCCTCCTAAGGATCAGGGAGAAGGAAGCTTTTCTGTTTATTTTTTCTTTTTTCCATCCTCACTCATGCCAGCCCCCCGGGCAGTCTTGCAGTGGTGGCAGTGGCAGTGGGGAGGACAGCATCTGTATGTAGGAACCTAAAATCCCTAGGGAAAGACAACCTTCTCTCTGTTAGAAGACCTGTGAACAGAAGAGCTTGAGCAAATTCTTGCTGTTTTTCTCTTTGTGTCCTTCCCCTGCCTAGTGTCAGACACAGATGCGGTCAGAAGAAGGGCATAGCAGAGCCACGAAATGGCAGATATCTGGCCGGGGGACGGGCTAGGGAGGCCGCAGACAGCCAAAAAGTGTTGGGGTGCGTGTGGCGAGGAGAGAGCACCAGAGAGTGATTGTATAACTTTGTATGTAAACTTCTGGGATCACTTCCAAACTGTGCATGCATCAATCTCATCCTAAAGAGAGTCTGAGAGGTTTTGAGAACTGAACTAGGGGGCAGACCACCACCCAGTTCTCCGACTGGTGTTGCATATGTAGGACACATTTGAACAGAACTACAAAAGGCTTTGAAAATTGAACTGATCTTAGAACCAGAGCCTATAAATAGTGGGTTGAAGCTTGTGGTTGAACCTCGCCTCAGTCAGCTGTCTGCTAATTTGTTTTTAAAATCAACATTCTTCTTAGTATTTAAACAAGACCAAGAGTCGCATAACATGATGTTCAAAATGTCCAGGATACAATCAAAAATGCCTTGGGATGTGAAGAATTGGAAAAATCTCAACTTACAGCAAAAAGACAACCAGTAGTTGTCAACCCCTGAGAAAACATAAATATTGAAATTATCAGAACAAGACTTTAAAGCTACTACTGTAACTGTAAGAAGTGTGAACACTTTTGAAATGAATGAAAAAATAGGAAGTTTCAACAACAAAAAAAGAAGATATGAAGAAGAACTGAATGGAAAACATAGAACTGGAAAATATAATAACCAACATTTAACAATAACTGGATGGACTCAGTAGCAGAATGGAGAGGACAGAGGAAAGAGTCCATGAACCTGAAGATAGATCAATAGAAATTGTTCAGACTTAACAATGGAGAGAAAAAAATTGAAAGAAATTGAACAGACTATCAGGAACCTGTGGAACAATACTAAAATGTCAAACGTTCGTGTCATCAGAGTCCTTGAAGGAGTGGAGAAAGAGTGCAGTTCAGGAAATAATAATACAAAAATAATGGTTGCAAACTTCCCAAATTTGTAAATTCAAGAAACTCAGCAAACCTCACACAGGATCAACTCAAAAACATCACCTCCCAGGTATGTGATAATCAAATGGTTTTTAAATTAAAGATAAAGAAGAAAATCTGGAAAGTAGTCGGAGGAAAAACTGCATCATCTATAGGAGAACATATATTTGAATGACTGTTGATATCTCACCAGGAACCATAGAGGCTAAAAGGAAATGAAACATTTTGGAAGTGCTGAAAGAAAAGAACCACCAATGCAGAGTTCTGTATCCAGTGAAATTATCCTTAGGAAGCAAGGTGAAATAAAAATATCCTCAGATGAAAAAAACCTAAGAGACTTTGTTGTCAGCACACCTGTTGTAAAATAAATACTAA